ATTACCTTTGGAGAGAACTACGCCACCATCACAATCTCTAAAATAATGATATTGTAATGCGCATTTATTCAGTTCCGATTCGAAGACTTCAATGAGGCTGGAAAAATTATTTGATAACTTTACGAATAAAAATACATAAAAGTACTGTCCCATTCTCACAAAACTGATCGGTTCTTAAAGAAATCTTTTCGGTAATTTTCTTATATATTTTCTCCGATAATATAAGAAATTTATTTTAACCCAAAGAAAATTTTTTTATAAAATTAATTATATCAAAGAAAGAAATAGCATTATTCAAAAAATTAAAATTATTTTCGTATAGGAACTAAACGAATGCAGTATATAAATATATACACACAATAAGACTATATGATTATTCTGACATTTCAATTATTCATGATTATATTTTTTAAAAAAAATTTATTGCGTCGAATTTCCTAACAATCCCCATATTTTTCAACAAATTCATGATTTCTAAATTATTCGCATTACGTCCCATTATCGTTAAAGAGAGAGATTTTCGTTGCGTACGATGTTCCCAATTCATATCAATTCTTTAAAAGTCAATAAATTATTTTTTTGCAATAACCTTAATTTATAAAAATTTTTCGCGGCCAAAACCTCCAAGCTTTCTTTTCCATCATGATAAAACACTTGAATGCTTTCTAATTACTTGGAACTATCAAAAATAAGCTTTAATTCTTTTGTATTATGATAAAAGGTTTGGACAAAATTTTGCTATGGATCAGTACAAAGTTCCCTTAAACTCTTCACATTATTTTCTAGAAACTTGTCCAAGTATGACATTGATATAGTCTCAAGATTTTCAATTGTTGAAAGGTAAGCAGAATGTAAAATTTCCTTTTTCATAATTCCATAAATTTCTAATTGATTAAAGTGTTTAATGTTTTGTTAACGAACCATTAATAAAATGAAAGTTTATTAATGAATGAAAAATATTTCAATTTATTTTGTGAAGAGATTATCGATCCTTTCGAAACGCATTTTTTAAATTGTATTGAAAGTGATGTTATATTATGACAATTTTGAGATAATAAATTAAAATTTTCATAATCAACGTTCAAATAAATTTTTAAAACCGAAAGTTTTTCAAACAACCAAATCACTCCAGGAAGATTTGATATTGACATGGACTTTTATATTCCAAAATTTTCAAGGAAGACATTCTCATAATCATTTTCAATATTTCTTGCATGATTAAAATTTTTTGCGTAATTAAATTCACGTGATTTGAAGTGAAGTTCAAAAAAACTATGTTTGCATGAAATGTAACGTTGTAACCGTATTTCTTTGAAAAGTCTTTTTGCTTTTTTTAAAATACAAAAGTCATTATCCTGATTCACCACAAAACATTATGTCTTTCAGTGTTTGTATATAACAAGTGCAAGTGCAAGCCACTTTCTTTCTAGCTCTTTATGTTTTAAGGCATTTTTATATAGTCTGTTAAAATTTTTCAGTGGTTGAACCGAATATTTCGTTCTTCTAATAATCTTTTTGGTTATATTTCTATAACCCCTTCAAATTTCAATGATTTATGAAAAATTTAGCTGCAGTAATTAATAACAATCAGTTTTAAAGTATTCATATTTTAGACATTTGTTGAAAGTCTTCATTAAGTAGAGTTGTTGTATATTTAAAAATATAGTCTGTCATTCCGTTTCGCTTTATAATTTTAATTTAAATTAAAGGTTTGTCGATGAATATCCATTCATGACCGAATTCCACAATTTCGATTTATGCTATGCTATGTTTGGGTAAAAAAAGATAAATTAAAAAGAATGTCACGAAAATCTTTTTTTTTTTTTAGGAAAATCATTTCGCTTGCTTAAATCAACATTTCGCAAACAAATAATGATAATTTGAAATTTTCACCTGTTAAATATCCCGATACATTTTCTTTTGGTTTTGTAATCAGTAATGAAAATTTTTTTAGGAATCCATGTTTATGGTAATAATTGTTGTTG